ACCATAGACTTTGTATGTAAACCTGCTGCTCCTGACGCTGAAATCGCGTTCGGTGTGAACGCACCATTAGGGGCACAGCACTGGAGTGGTTCAGATCTTATCTGAGTGAGAGAACATACTGTGTTGGCCTTGGGGACCATGTGTACTCTTCTGCTAAGGTCTCTTGTGGAGTCCCACAGGGTGCCGTCTTAGGACCCCTCCTTTTTTGTTTTTACTTGCTTCCACTTAGYCCCATTTTTAGAAAGCATGGAATTTCATTTCACTTCACTTTTATGCAGATGATTGTCAGGTTTATGTCCCCATCAAGAAAAAAAAACTCATTCTCCACTGAACCACTGCTAAAATGTCTTGAGGACTTGAAGGCTTGGTTGGTTTTCAGTTTTTTACATTTGAATGAGAAGAGGTTATATTTTTTGGCACATCCACTGATATCCCTCTTGTAGATTTACAATCTTTGACTCCATACATCAAACCAGTCATACCAAATCTGGGGGTAAAAGTGGACAGTGATCTTTGATTTGATAAGCAAATAAGAGCAGAATCCAGCTTTTTTCATTTAAGGCAGCTTGCTAAAGTCAACCCCATTCTTTCTAGAAAGAACTTTGAGGCAGTAATCCACTCCTTCATCACCACTCGGTTGGACTACTGTAATGGACTTCAGTGCTTCCTCTATCGCTCACCTCCAGAGGGTCCAAAATGCTGCTGCACGTCTTATAACTGGCATGAAAAAGCATGACCACATTTTCCATGTTAGCCTCACTGCACTGGCTGCCTGTTTATTTTAGAATTCATTTTAAAGTTATTTTATTTGTTTTTAAAGCATTAAATGATCTTGCCCCACTTTACCTCACTGAGCTGCTGCACCCCTATACCCGCTCCCGTTCTCTTGTGTCAGCACACCAGCTGCTCCTGAGAATCCCAAAAACTAAACGTAAGCTTAGAGGGGATCGTGCCTTCTCCACTGCTGCTCCTAAAATGTGGAACAACCTGCCTTTGGGCATCAGACAGGCCACGTCCGTGTCGGCTTTTAAAACACTCCTTAAAACCCATCTCTTCTCTTTGGCTTTTGGCACCATCTGAGATGTTGACTTTCAGTTTGTTTTGAGATTATTTTATTTTGTTTTAATTGGTTTTATGTGTTTGTTTTATTGTATAGCTTTAATTTTTGGATTTGGCTTTTATTATGTACTGTGACTGTTGTGTGTTTTATTGACTGTGACTGTACAGCACTTTGGTCCTATGGTTGTTTAAGTGCTTTATAAATAAAATTGGTATGGTTTGGTTAGGTATGGTATGGTATATGGTATGGTATATGGTATGGTATGGTATGGTATGGTATGGTATGGTATGGTATGGTATGGTATGGTATGGTATGGTATGGTAT